GGCTTGATTCTTCTGCAGAAAGATCCTTATGCCCTACCCCTGAATCTACGTTTGTACATAAACAAAAGCCAGTTAGAATCTAGCCCTGTATTTTGACTGTTTACTAAATTTAATCAAAGTGAATGAAAGTAGATCATAGAGAGTATGAAAACAACTAAACAATAAGAAGTGACCTTAATGTCTCTGCCTGGGAAATTTTCAAGTTCTAACTGAAATCTAGCATGCTGGCCCAACTATTTTGTAACAGTTCATTCTAAGTACCAGTCTTTATGAAAACATCTATTTTACACTTTTTAATATTCCACTTTCCTTCCAAAACAGGGAATCCATACACTCCAGCTGTACCTCCTCCATTCAGAACAATATTAGCTCCAAACTCAGATTTCAAAGGAATACTTTGACTGTTCCTGCTGTCACAGAAAGTAATTGGGGCCAGCTGGATGTCAGAATGAAAGTGGTTACTATTATAATACTACTTTTCTTTTGTAAAGCAGCCTACTTTAGGAAGACAAGAAATGGAAGTTTGAGAAACAAAGCAAATAATGGAAGGGCAAACAGTTTAAGAAAAGCATCTAGTACTATTAAACGTTATGCCCCAGGCATCCCCTGTGATGTGTATACTTATCTTCATGAGAAATACATAGATTGCCAAGAAAGAAAACTGACTTTTGTGTCTCGTGATTGGCCTGAGGATTTAAGACACATGCTGCTAGCAAGAAACAGGATTCGGAAACTGAAGAATAATATGTTTTCCAAGTACAAAACATTAAAAAGTCTGGATTTACAACAGAACGATATATCCAAAATTGAAAGCGAGGCTTTTTTTGGTTTAAACAAACTTACTACACTCTTACTTCAGCATAACCAAATTAAGATTTTATCAGAAGAAGTTTTTATTTATACGCCCCTTCTACGCTACCTGCGTCTTTATGATAATCCTTGGCATTGCACCTGTGAGATGGAAACTCTTATTACAATGTTGCAGGTTCCAACGAACAGGAATTTGGGAAATTATGCCAAATGTGTATACCCAACAGAACTGAAAGATCAAAAGCTAAAGCAGATTAAGGCTGAACAGCTATGTAGTGAAGACGAAAGACTGGACCCCAAAAATATAGTAGTAGCAAAGCCTGGAGCTGTCAAACCAGAATTTGATTCCTCTCTTTGTCATATTTATGTATTTCCCATACAAACACTGGATTGCAAACAAAAAGGTTTGTTTAATTATTTTTAATTCAATGACAATTTTTAATGTTCTTGCTTTTTTGCTATTATATTTCTTCTCAAGTTACAGAAAATCAGTACAGTTCTAGAAAGTTTTTGCTTTAATTTCATTTAATTAGTATCAACAACGTCTTTGTTCGTTTATAACAAGCATAATTGGAATTCTTGCAGTATTTCATCTCCATTTCAGAGCCCCCACTCTGCAAGAACTCCTACATGTATTTCATTTTATTAACAGGAATACTCCAACTGAAACCAACAGGAATGCTCCTAGTAACAAAATTAAATGTTTAACTTATTAACATGTTGGAATTTATTGTAGGGTCCAGTTTTATTCCAATAACACTACTTTTACATATGCCAATAAATTTATTTTAAAAAATTATAGGTTGTTACAAACTGACTGCGCTGACAGTAAGCACAGAGAGCTCTTCCTCTCTGCAGATGCACAAAGTTAGCTATAATTTGACAGCAGGCAGCTGCCAGCAACACTCAGAGGCCCCAGAAAGGGCCAGACTGAATGGAAAGGCATTGTGGCCCCACCCTCTGTGTACCAGGTTTCCAGCACAGTGGAAAGTATCAGCTGTTCCTTTTGAATAGCTATAGCAAGTGTTCTGTCTCCAGTGCCCATCAGATTTCAAAGTTATAATGCTTCCAGGTACTGCCACCAGGAAGAGTGCTTCATTTCTGTACCAAATGCATCTCAGGCTGCTAGGAGCCATAACTGAACCCTGAGGGTAAACAGTTGCCCATCTTGGAGACATGAATATACAAGTGCACATTTGTCCATGATAAAACTACTAAAGAAAAACTAAAACAAAAATCTGATGAGAACTGTTCCCTGGTTAAACCCATTGCAAATTGCATTCTGTTCATGCTTCAGCTTTACAAAACATAAAATTAAAAAGTACAAAGATGTTTAAGTAACCTACTTAGGGAAGATTTTGCCCAGTTCATGCAAACTACAACCTGCAGTGCCTGACCATTGCACTTTGTTTGCTATTATTATCTTGTAACACTCTTGCCAAACTGCTCTGCTATTTTCTTCCATTTGCATTACTGTGACTATATATTTATATAACCGCTTTTATTGTGTTCTTGTCCTCTACCCTTGATTCAGGAAGACTCTGTCTTTGCTGCTATCCATATCAGCTAGGATAGACAAGCTCAGAAGTCAATATCAAGAGCCATGTAATGTACATAAATTAAAAGCTTGAGCCTGTGACCACATGGTGTACACAAGTGGTTCCCAATCTTTTTATGGCTTTCGGAATTCAGGGTCAACCAAAATCTACCCTGCCCCTTCCCCAAAGTCCTGCCCTGCTTTCTCCATCCCTCCTGCTCTTTGTATCACTTGCTGTCCCACAGCCCCAATCACTTTTACTGAGCTGGGGCAGGGAGTTGAGGTTTAAGGGGAGGGTTGAGATAGAGGAGAGGATATTGGTGTTGGCTCAGGGTAGGGATGTAAGCGACTAACTGACTAGTCAGTGTCAGCAGCGTGGGGAGCCAGGTGAGAGCTGGTCTGCCAGGGGAGCCAATTTAAAAACCAGTTCCCCTCACGGACTGGCTTCCTGTCGCCCAGCACTGTTGCCTCTGATACAGAGGAAGCAGCATGGGATGGCAACAGCCCCTGTCCAGGGCGAGGAGGGAGTGTCTGAGCTCCTGGACCCGGCATGAGCTGGAACTGAGCTGGGCTGCCTACCCACCTGGCTCCTAATACGTTTTAAATGCAGAGCAACAGCAGGGGTAGGTCCTGGACCTGGTGCAATCCAGGACTGAGCATTGCTATTGGCCAGCCTGCTAAAAATTTACTGGGAGGAGGGGGGAGGAGGGAGGAATATATGTAATCTATAGCATTAAACCTATAAGCTTTTGCTTATCAGTTAATCAGTTAATTGACTATACTATTACAACCCTACTTTACATAAGGGTAGTAACTATAGTATTTTCACTGGTCTTAATACATAAAATACATCCATTTACAATATACTAGAATAAAGAACAGAAATTATTTCAGATGAAATGTGAAAAGAGACAGTTAAGTTAAGCTGTTCCAGTCAAGAGGAGCTGCATGAGAAATAACTTTCCTGCTAACACTGTGAAAAGCCTGAAAATGGTCCAAGGGAGGTCATATTTAGATGAACAGAAGAAGCAGGAAAAGAAGTAGAAAGAAGCAAGATATATGAGGTAGTTCTGTGTTTTCCCAGATGCTTAGTAACTACTTCCCAATTGTTATTTTTCTGAGAGCTACACCCCTTTTTAGTGCAAAATGCAAAAAACACAGGGCTTCTTTATATCCTGGCACAAATTGCTCTTACAGTGACATGGAAGTGGTAGAGATGAAAGATGATATAACATCCATCTTTTCATTTTTTTAAGAGTTAAAGAAAGTTCCAGGTAACATACCTCCAGATATTGTAAAACTTGATTTATCTAACAATAAAATCAAACAACTACAAGCCAAGGAGTTTGAAGATGTTAATGAACTGAAGACCTTAAACCTTAGCAGTAATGGAATAGTTTACATAGATCCTGGTAAGAATAACTTTCTATATTTGTACAAAAATAGTAAACTGTGCTTTATTAATTATTAGCATTGCTTATATCTTTATCATCTATATATCAGCATTGTGGGCAATCCCACTGAAGTCAAAGTAGCAAGCATGGATTTTGGTGTACTCTTAATTTTAAGGAATTTTAAGAAAAGGAGCAAAAATAGAATTTTAGTGCCAAATAAAATTGTACGTTATTTGTTCAGTGTGTGTGTGTGGCAATAAACAGATGACAAACAGAAACAAGGAGAGAAAAGAAAGGAACTCAGACAAAGAGTAGATTGGTTTCTGTTGTAGCATTCTGGAAGCATAGTAACAGTGGACAATAGTGATATCAATAAAATAGTGTTCAACAGGTCAAAAATAATACATTGCTAGACTCCTTAAACTAAGATTTGTGACCGCAAAGGTTGGGTTCTTCTCTGAAATGTGACTGTAAAAGTGGCATTGTTAAATACCATGTCTATTGTCTTATACTGACTCCCTATCAAATGTACTCCATTTATAAATCTTTTTTGTCTTTATAATTAGCTGTCCTGGAAAACTTAACCTGAGTGAGAATTGACAGTGAAATTAGATTATCTCCTCATCCTTATTACCAGTAATATATAAGTCAAATCAGGGATTTACAGATATCTCCACAACTCTACTCTCTTCATATACACACAAACCTTACCTAAATACAAAAGTAAAGTCTCAGAAGGGAAGACATGTTAGTCTGTAACTAAAACAACTTAAAAAAAAACAAAAAAAAACAATGGTTCTGTAGCACCATAAGAGACTAACCAAAAAATATAGACAGCATCATGAGCAGGACTGGCCCACAACATTTTGGCACCTGAGGCAGGGAGCTCAAATGATGCCCCCATGCTCCCTCGCTTTGGCCAAAACTTTGAAAGGTTTCAATTCTGCCACCATCTCTGTGCATCTAGAGCAGAGAGAATACATATGCACCAGCAACAGACACAATTTTCTACACTCTGGGTGTGTCTAGACTACAGGGTTTTGTCGACAAAAGTGGACTTTTGTCGACAGAACTATACCTGCATCTACACTGCCTCTGAGTTCTGTTGAAATAACGTCAACAGAACTCAGCAGTTTTGTCGATGGCTGTAAACCTCATTCTACGAGGAATAACCCCTTTTGTCGACAGAGTTCTGTCGACAGAAGGCGTTATTGCATCTACACTGTGCTTTGCGTCCACGCTGTCATGTCGACAAAGCGGCTTGCTTTGTCGACAGAACTGGATGTAGTCTAGATGCTCTTTGTCGACAGAAGCTTTGTCAACAGTACCTGTCGACAAAACTTCTGTCGACAAAAGCCTGTAGTCTAGACATACCCTCTGGGTCCTAGTGGAGCCTTCCCCCCCTCTCCCCCACAGTCTGGCACCTGAGGCAACCGCCTCAGCTCCCCTCATGGTAAGGCCAACCCTGATCATGAGCTTTCCTGGACACAACCTACTTCTTCAGAGGACAAATATGGAGCAAGAGGCACAGAGCTTCAGATAAAAACCAGAAAAAGAAGGGAGAGGGGGAGTGAGTTACAAAAGTAAAGCTTTACTGGTATAGTTAAGGTAGTACAACTCCACCTAGCGTAAACATAGTTATATCAGTATAAAAGTGTTTAATTCAGGGGTCGGCAATCTATGGCTTGTGAACCACAAATTGTCACTAGGGAGCCAGATATGGCTCTTTTGGAGCTTCAGCTCAGCCACCCTTCTGCCCAGTTCCCCCCATAGCAGGAAGTCAGCGCTGGTGCTACAGCCTTACGGTTCCCCACGAAATTGAAAAGCCAGCTCCAACTTCCTGCAGCATATGGGGAAGGGAGAAAATCCCAAGCCTCCCTGCCAGATTTGGTGTGTGGGAAACAAACTGAACCAAAAATGGCTCTATGCACTGCCATTTTTCCTTCCCCAGCTGGGGGACCAGCCTAGGAGGAACACACTTCCTGGAGGCTTCCCCTTTGCTCCAACTGTCCAGAATCCATGAATGAGAGCAGCAGGAGGTCATGTTACATGGTGCCTGTGACTCAGCATTAAAGTAACTAAATGACCTTCCCACCCGTTCGTGCCCAGATCTCGTACCCCTACTCCCTCCCTCACTCCCCCTGCTGAGACCCAGCATCCCCAGCTTGTTCCTGCCCCCTCCCCCTGGCCAGACACCCTGCCCCTAGCCTGCTTCTGCCCCCACCCCAGACACCTTACCCCCTGCCCACTCTTTCTCCCTCTCTTACTCCTGTCCCCTACCTCCAGCCAGACACCCTACCCCCAGTCCACTCCTGCCCCCTCACCCCTGGCCAGGCACCCCACTACCAGCCTGCTCCTGCCACTTACCTCCCACCCAGACCTCACACTCTCCTACACCCCACCTCTTGCCCAGATCCTGCACCCCATTCCCACTCACTGGCAGCCCTATCCCATACACTTAACCTTTCGTTTTTGGCCCCACCCCAGAGCCTAGGGGGGGCCCACAAAATCCACTAATCCTGAAACCCCAGAAAAATAAATCTGGCCTGAGGCCTTGAACCTCAGCTGTCCCTGCCTCTTCCCCATCATGGGGCTGAAGCAACAGGGGAGTGAGGTGTTTCAATTGGGAGCCACATCAATGAGGTTTGGGGATGGGGGGGGTGATTTGCTTCTCACTTGTGTGGTCTCCAACTGATTATTTTGTGGGGCAGTGGCCGCTGATCCAAAAAAGGTTCCCCATTCCTGCAATAAATAAAGACAATGTTGAAACCTTTTGTGTTGGACATAATATTTTACTTTATTTAAAAAAAGAAACCTGGCCAACAAACCCTCAACTGGAGCCTAGCCCCCATCTGGCTGTAGCATCATAACACTCCTGCACACACTCCCACATGCCAACTCTGAGACCATCATACACCTGAACCCCCAACCCTGAACCCTCATACTGCCACATCTCCAGACTCCTGCACTCCCACATCCCCAGTCCCCTGCCATAAAACTCTTGCACCCCCCTGCACCTCAACCCTGTGCCCTGAGCCCATCAAAGGCCTGAATCCCCTGCCCATAGCCCCTCACACCCCTACATCCCCAAACTCCTGCACCCCCACATCTCCAGACTCCTGCACCCCCTCATTCCCTGTCCCTTGCCATAACATTCCTGCACCCCTACACACCCCAACCCTGTGCCCATCATATAACCTTGTCCCCAGGCTCCTACACCACCACATCCCCAACCAATGCCATAATAATGACAGAAGATAGCCCAAATGAGTGCATGAAGCTGGATCTGACCAGCTATGATGTAAACTTTAAAGAAATGTGCAAAAAGATGCAGCAGCAGAAATACCATTAAATAAAGTCTGTGAGTACAATGTTTCATGTATGCTATTATTAATCATTATGTCAATTATCAAGAATAAGAAGTTGTATATTTTCAGTCATGCAAATGGGCATTCTTATATGGGTCTTTATTGACACCTTTTTCTGAATTTTGGTTTGAAAAGGTTGCCGAGCCCTGGTTTAGTGGCATAAATTATACAAGCATAAGGAACCTTTGTACCAGTATAACTATGTCCACATTAGACATGCATATCATTATAGCTATTTCAGTCCCAAAAAATCATACCCTTAACCAAAATAGTTATACTAGTACAAAATCCGTGTACAGACCACTCACTTGGGAGGTCTCATTGACTGTATAGCTACAGCTGAACAACCTCGTGTGTAAATCAAAATCTGAGTATAATTTGAAGACAATGAATTGCAAAGGGATCAATGAATTTTTGATTTGGCTTGCAGAATCTATATTACTGATAATAATAGGTATGACACTGATATAACTGATAATTCTCTCATAATGCACACTTAGATTCCAGCTCACTATCTCTTTGCTGTGATATCTCTACTGTGCTATCAGGATTAAAGAAGTAGAAAAAATTATATTTTTCAGCAAATTAAATGCAAGTGTCTCTGAATACACCAGATCCCTTGTAAAGACTTATATGCCACTTTTCAGAGTAGGGATGTTAACTATTGTTTATGTGTGTAAAAGTGGAACTGCTGGACATTTTAGTGGTTACATGTTAACATGCATGGGAAGGCCAAGGGGGAGCCAGTACTTGGTGGGAGCCAGTTTTTAAACCGGCTCCCTGTGAGCACCAGCTCCTGCCTTGCGTCTGCCCCTACATCTGATAAAGAGGCAGCAGTGTGGGAGCAGGTGGCTTTGTGGGAGCCAATACATGCAGGGAGCTGGTTTGAAAGCTGCTTCCTGTGTGTACCAGCTCCCACATACCCACCTCATTACCCTGCACTGCTTTCTATCAGAGGCAGCAGCATGGGGGGGGAAGGTGGCTCCGTGGGAGCTGATGCTAGTGTGGAGCCGGCTTTTAAGCCAGATCCCCCCAATCAGCAGCTCTCTTCTGCCCCCTCATACTGCTGCCTCTGGGGAAGATGCAGGAGGGCAAGCAGCTCCATGGAGCCAGCTCCCCGTGCATATTGGCTCCCACCTGCCTGCCCCGCCCCCTGTACTGCTGTTCCTCGAACACCGGCTTCAACCTGCCCCCTGTGCTGCTGCCTCTGTGGGGGGCAGGGACTCTGCGAGAGCCAGCACGCACAGGGAGCCAGCTTAAAAGCCAGCTCCCCACGGGCACAGGCTCCCAACTCCCCCGCTTGGTGCCTCTGATACTGAGGTGGTTGCGTGTAGTTGTTACAATTAACCAATAAGCTCTAGCTTTTTAGTTAATCATGTATCAGAGGGGTAGCCGTGTTAGTCTGAATCTGCAAAAGCGACGAGGAGTCCTGTGGCACCTTATAGACTAACTGAAGTGTAGGAGCATAAGCTTTCGTGGGCAAAGACCCACTTCGTCAGATAAGGTCTGATGGATGATAGTCATGCTGCACAATGCACGGGTGGAAGCTGATCAGACATTACCAAGAGGAGAACCTGGTCAGAACAGAGCAAGGATATTCGAATCCCCCAGCGCAGGTGTAAACTTCCCCTGAATTTCCCCAACAGTCGACTAGGTACATGCAGTGCTGCAATGTAGTTATTGGCTGGAAATTTGAATTGAAATTGAAACATTAATAAACACTTTAAAAGCATCTACAGTGTATGATAAAACCCTTCTACCTGGACAAGTACCAGGGCTTTGAAGAGTATGAAGAATGACACACTCTCTCACGGAGTGGTTGTTTTTCTGACAATACTGGCACCTTCATTTCAGGAACATTGGCCGACATTATCATTTCTAGTGTGATTTGTAAGCAGGGTCTGAACGAGCTTTCCCTGTGACAGCTAGTGACAAGCCAGGGCAGTGGCGGAGGCTTCTTCTGGACCGTCTGTACTTACATGAACTCCCCTCCTCTGCCTAGGTACCCAGCAGGCAGTGCTCTGCAGCCCAAGTGATCACTTTTGGCTGGTGATGGGTTACAAACCATTGTAGCATTGTATATAGGGGTCCTGCCGTGCTATCTTTGTTGTACAAGCAAAGGGCAGCAGAACTGCACCTGGCCTGGCCTGATTGAGGGGTTCACCGTCAGTGTTTAACGTTTGTCAGGGCTGAGCTCTGGCTCCTCTAGGTTTGGGAGTTCCCAGCCCTGGGACCTCTGGAATGAAAATGTTTTTTAATTGCTTGAATCTCAGCACCTCTTTTATTACAAATTGAGCACTGGTCATCATCAACTCAGTTGCACTCACTAAGCAAGGGGCTTGAATGGCAGATCCGGGGGGTGGAGAGGACAGGGGTTTCGCTTGTGGGCTGTGCCTAGGAGGCACAGCAACTACTTGATTTGCCTCCCCCCCCCCCGCTCATATGGAAGCGGTTCCATCCCCGAATCATTTTAGTTGCCCTTCTCTGTAACTTTCCAAGTTAATCCAGAACTGCATGTAGCATTCAAGATGTGAGCGTACCATGGATTTATATAACAACAGTAGGGTAGCTTAGTTTGCCAGACTGATCAGCAAAGCCAATGCTGACAAACTAAGTGAAAAGTCTGCAGAACACAATTTCTCTGGACCGCGTCAACATGCAGAAAGCCTTATAAACTACAGAGGGGTAGCCATGTTAGTCTGTAACTAATAAAACTTCAAAAACTACAATGGTCCAGTAGCACCATACAGACTCAAAAATTGATCTCTAAGGTGCTACTCAACCATTTTAGATTTTTAGGTTCCTTATAAGCCTGTCACTGTCAAAGCCAATTTTAGAAGAATATAATGAGGCTGTTAAAAATGCTGGAGATGCAGTTTATTCAAACAAACATGGCTGTCCCGACATACTTTCTCTTTAATCAGGATCCCACACTCTACAGACTGGAGGCCAGTGTTAAGTGCATTGCCACTTGTTAATCCTGAAGTTGGATACTGACCAAGACCAGCAAATGCTAACTGTATTTCTGAGAGAAACTCAGAGGACTGGTTAGAAGCATGCAGTGCAACAGGGAAAGACTCAGCTGTTGCTAAAGTGAAGAACTCTCTCACCACATTCAGCAAATGTGCATACGTGGCTGATGAATGAACCAGTGCAAATGGATGTCAAGTATTAATTCACTGCGTACATTATCTCGATGTCAGTGGTAGGCCAGTATATTCATTTCTAGATGTTCAGGTTATAGAAGACATGTCAGCTGCATTTCTGATAACCCATGTCTTAGAGTTAAATGCTTATAAACTGAACCCAAAAGAGATGGCTGCTTGTGCACTTGATGGAACTGCAAACTTCTCTGGAAGACACAGTGAAGTTCACATTTTGCTCAGAAAAAAGTGTACCGGTAACTAAACTCTCCTATACACACTGCAGATGCTGGCTACTCCAACAAGCTCTGTTACGAGCTGCAGAATCTTCAAAAGGCACTTAAAAAGCCAGACATTTCATTATCTTCCTTATATTCTTTTTTTCAGCAAGTGTCCAAAAAGACTGTACCTCTTGGAAAATATAGAATGGGGAACTGGAGTTCAAATTAGTTGAACTTAGGAAAACCCACTGGCTTTCTCATGAGTGGTTCTTGGCTTTTGTCTTAGAATTACTGCATCCATTATTATTGGTTTTGGAAAGTATCTACCAAGATGGGACGGTTCTAAGTAATGAAGTTGGGGGATTACTTTTGCTACTAAAGTTAGAGAACACAATCTCTATTTTCTCTTGTAAGTCTATTGTTGAAAGCACTTGGACCATTAGACAATGCAATCCGGGCATCTGCTACAACAGTATTAGATCCAGTTGATGCACTTGGATCAACTGGAGAGAGAACCATTGAAAATGTACTGGAAGAAACAAAGATTTCAGTTCAGGGGCTGAAATTAGGGCACTTATATTAACTGCTTTAATGAAGAGGACAAACAGTGTGTGACAAGCCAGCTGAAACAGTAAAGAACATAGATTTGATTCTTACAGATCCACACCATCAACTTTTGGATTTTATCAGCCTCTATGTAGCTTTTACAGACGCCTGTCTTACAAACATGAACAGTTGAGTATAGTGGGACATGGCCGTCAGTGGGGCTGCCAGGTGATCAGGATACACTAGAGCAGTGGTCTCCAACCTTTTTATACCCAAGATCACTTTTTAAATCTCAGAACAGGGGAAGATCTACTGCCCCGCCCCTTCCTTAAAGCCCCGCCCTCTCTATTCTCCTCCTGTCCATCACTTGCTATCCCCAGCCCTTACTTACACACTCTGATAAACAGCTTATTTTTAAATGATGCGATACATACAATTAAAATCATGTGTTTATAATTATGAAATAAATGGTCTGTTTTTTATTCATGCTATTTAAATCTAAAATGAAACATTTATAATTATACATTTTGTGGGGACAGAGTTCTGCGGCTGGGGGCAGGGGAGAGGGACCAGGGTGCTGGGAGGGCAGAGGGCAGAGGACAGGGTTCTGCAGCAGGGGACAGAGTGCTAGTGGGGACAGGGTTCTGCAGCTGGGGACAGGGGAGTGGGGACAGAGTTCTGTAGCTGGGGTGCATCTGACGAAGTGGGTCTTTGCCCACGAAAGCTTATGCTCCTACACTTCAGTTAGTCTATATGGTGCCACAGGACTCCTCGTCGCTTTAGTTAATCATGTTACCAACTACACACTAACATCCCTAGCATAGACCCACACATTTTTGTTTCAATTTACAAGAAGCCTTTATTGTAGTCCTTTAATAAAAAAAATGTAATTGTGATTTTGACTACTGTATAAGAATACTGCTTAAGCCAACGGTTTTCAAAGTTGGGTCACAGGCCTGCCTGGGTAAGCTGCTGGCAGGCCCACAACACTTAGTTTATCTCATAGTCATGGAACCTCACAGCTCCCATTGGCTGCGGTTCACCATTTCTAGCCCAGGGGAGCTGCAAAAAGTGGCAGCCTGGGCCACACCACTTCCCACAGCTCTTCGTGGCTGGAAACAGTGAACTGCAACCAATGGTAGCTGTGAGGCTCCATGACTCTGAGATAAATGAAAGCATCAAGTGCCCACCAGAGGCTTACCCAACCAGGTCTTGACCCAACTTTGAAAACCACTAGTTTAAGATATGAGCACGCTTTACCTGTTACACGTATATTTTTCTATTTTTTTCTATCTATTCTACATTTCAATAACTTTTTTTATTTGACCAGCTGCTTTTTCAGGACTCATTAACTTAGAAGAGCTTGATTTATCAAACAACACACTGCAAAATTTTGAATATGGCGTATTAGAAGATTTATACTTTTTAAAAATATTATGGCTTACAGAGAATCCTTGGAGATGTGATTACAACATTCATTACCTTTTCTACTGGTTAAAGCATCACTACAATGTTCGCTACAGTGGCTTAGAATGCAAAATGCCTGAGGAATACAAAGGGTGGTATGTTGAAAAATATGTCCAAAGTTATTATGAGGAATGCCCAAAAGACAAGCTGCCAATTTATCCAGAAACATTTGAACAAGACAAAGAAGATGAGGAATGGGAACGACACAAAGAACAATCAGTTCAAACAGTAAAGAAACATGGTGTAATTGTCACTGTAATAGGTTAATTTGGGGAATTTTTTATTACTAGATTCAAATGTATCATATTTTATGTCAGAAAAATTCTGTTTACATTCTTGTTACTTGTGCTGTTTGTTCATAAGGAAATATTGCCTACATCATTTTTTTAATTGCAGTTACTGACTATGCTATGGTATTAGTTATACATCATCTTTTATAAAAAAAATTCTGTTCCCAACCATTTATTCTGGGTCACCCTTACTATGTATTTGGGTAACTATTTGAACCTACAAAATATAAATGAATAGATATAGAAATAGATCTATAGAGGAAATAAGTCTCCATATGCCCAGCAAGTCATACACAGCATCTGCATGGAACTAATTTCAGGAGTGGACCCAAAGCTCCTCTGTGTGGAATGTATTGCAATTTCTTTATATTTATTGGCTCTCTGAATTGTTCCCTAGAAAAGTTCTGTGCATTTTAAGAAGCAGTTTTCTTGTTTGTGATACTTATACCAAATAATCAAAATGCAAACTGATTTATAACAGGCTACAAAGTCTATGGGAATTGCACATGGAATAGAGAGAAAGGCACTCCAGTCATCATGGTGCTAGTTCTAACACAGACTTCCTATGTGACACTAGGCAAATCATTTAGTCTTTCTGTGCCTCACTTCCCCATCTATAAAATGAGAATAATAGCACTTCACCTCACATGACTGTTATGAGGTTATATATATTAAAGGCTGTAAAAGGTCTTCACATACTATGGGAACAGCAGCCATATATGAACCTCAGGTAGGTAATCAGTACCCTTCAGGAAAAGGACGCTTACTGCCCAAACCTCTATCTATATATTTTAGAAACGTCTATCTGTCTGTGAGTCTGTTTGTTCAAGAACACCTCCTAAACACTAAGAACTAGAACCACCAAATTTGGAATGGAGTTTCCTCTTATCCTAACTTAAAGCAAGGTCAGAGTTTGGTTGTGCCAAGAAAATAGGAAGTTCCAGGAATGGGACTGTTTTTCATAACATGGAAAGGACGGGGCAGAAAGAAGAGAGACATGAAAGAAACTTACAGAAAGGAGGGACACAATAACTGAGAGTGGCCAATACAGGCTGCACCACCAAGAGAGTGGCCAGCAGGGCTGGCTCTCCGCCATCTTGCCTGCTACCAGACTAGATAAGTAGTCCTCCTGCCCCAAACCCTTTCCCTCCCCTGGCCCTTGGCCGCAGCACTGGAGGGGTGGAGAGAGAAAAGGCCCCTGTCAGCTGGAGGGAGACAGAAGGTCCTTGGCAGCTGCGGGGGAAGAGGCTAGGGGGAGACAGAAGGCCCCTGAAGGCTGGGGCAATTGGAAAGAGAAATGGACCCTGGCAGCCAAGGGGAGAAGCCCTGTTGGATGGGACTTCTCACCCTGAGTCCCTCTTCACCCCCCAACCCTCACTCTCACATTCTCCCACACTTTCAGCCTCCTGCTTGCCCCCTACCCACATCCCCATGGTCCTGTCCTCACTACTGCACACCCCCCCACACACACACACACTGCCAGTCTCCTGCCATGAAGAATCTGGCAATAAAAGGAATGATCCAACACACATGTACATAGGCAATAGCTGATAACATTTAACATTTATACACAATAAAAGGAATGTTCCAACATTCATTTACATAGGCAATACTCCCATGAATTGATACATTTAGCATCTATACAGTATTTCCATTTTAAAAGTTTGCATCAGTTAATATTAACCAATCTGAACATTTCCTTTTTGAGATAAGGGTTAACATCCCTTCTGTGGAAATGATGACAAAGAAGGGGTAAATAAAGTTGCCCAAGACCACACACCAGATTGGTGGCAGATCTGAGATCAGACTCAGAGATCCCATATCATACTTCCTCTCCTACATCACTGACAGTTATACATGACTGTAGGAAGCAGAACCAGACTCTACATTTGAAATGTGTGACAATATATGCAAACAACTAAACATGGGAGGACCTCTGCAAGACTATAGCTCTCTAACTCTACAACATGGTATTCTAGTCACTTTGGATATCTCCAGAACTCCTGCCCAAAGGCTCACATTTGTTGTTTTGCATTAAAAATGTAATCCAGAGCATTTGGTAACAGCTTTTTCTAATATAAAACATGAAGACAAAAAGAAATTCAGGGCCTGGTAAGAGTGTGAAGGACTGCCAAAGGATCCTTTAGTAGTTTAGCAGAAAATATGCTGTGATCCGAGACATTTTTTCACACCCCTTCTTGTAAAAATTAAATCACTTACAGGTGCTATGTTGCCAAACTGAAGAGTTTAGACAGTTTTGCATAACCTCCAAATAGTTGTATAGCAATCCTACTGTTGCATTACTCATCACTGTCCCCAAGCCCAGAATGATTTTAAACATTAGGAAGAAAAAAATTCATGCAAACAGTAACCAGAATCAAGAGAACTACTCCCTCCTCTCCAAATCTTTTTGACAGAACAGATATCCTTGGGGCATGAGGGAAGAGGACAACTATGAACAGTAGAACTACTGAAAATGGACCCATAAGATAATTTTTGACATTAGAGCTAGTGAACAGATAAATGCTGAAAAGGAAAAAGTGAATTTATAAACCACCTTGGGTCAACTGTTATGGACAAAAAAGCCAGCATTTCAGCTAGAAAGGCAGGATATTAAAAAGAACCGCCAGAGGAGAAAGCCACAATCAGGGCCAAAAGAGACAGCATACCCATCCAGCTGTAGAGCATAGGTGGGAGGCAGGGCGGAAAGTCTGTAACCCGTAGGCTACATCTACACTGCAACACTATTTCAGGATACCAGAGTATTCAAAAATAGCTATCCCGTATCTTCACAACAAACCCATTATTTCAGGCTCGCTATTCCAACATCCCTGTAAACCTCATTCTACAAAGAGTAAGGGACATTTTGGAAAAAGGCAGTCCCCGGGTTACGTACAAGATAGGGACTGTAGGTTTGTTCTTAAGTTGAATTTGTATGTAAGTCGGAACTGGTACATATTGTAGGGGAAACTCTAGCCAAACATTTCTCCAGAGCTCAGTTTTATTCTCCCACACCTCACTTCCCTCAGCCCTTTATTCTCAAGCTGAAGTGTCTGCTGAGAAAAGCCGCTCCACGTCTCCCTGGTCGGCTGGGAGGGGTGCTAGCTTTGCGTCTCCCTGGTCTGCTGGGGGGAAGCAGCTAGTGTGGGGTTGCCTCACCGCGTTTGTAAGCAGGGATCCGATGTAAGTTGGATCCATGTAACCCGGGGACTGCCTGTAATTAATTGAATATGTTTATTTTGAGCAATGTAATTTCAGTCCAGCATAAGTCTGAGAAGTCTATGAGACATTAGTATTAAACAGTGCAGATTCACCCTTTGACACTCAAGGAGCTAAGTGGGTGAAGTTAGAAAGTAATAAGCACCTGAGCTTACTAAGTCTAAAGGCTACAGTGATACTGAATGATTAAACAAATACTCAAGTAGTACCATGAGGACTAAAGTCCTTACGAGTAGCAGTGATACATAAACAATCAATTAAGAAACATTAATGGCTAGATGGACTAGCCCTTCGTGCTTTTCAACGAAATAGTGGCATGCTGCTGCCATAGAGGGATTCCCAAGACTGGAAACTATCATAGAAGACAATCAAGAGTCACAACTTCCTAAAGAGACAAAGCTGAATACCTTGCTTATCCTTTAACTTAGGAAGGGGAGCCCAGTGCGAAGAGGACATATCAAATTGGAGGCTCAAGGGGTTGTGGTTTGATAATTACCCTGCAAGAGGAGCCTTCAAGCTCACAAACCACTATGTTCAAGGAGATAACCAAGAAAGAATCCTCAAACAGTACTAAAAAAAGGAAAATTTGAAGTGGTATCAATTGAGACCTTTGATATTGAAGGGGAAAAATAAAGACTTCTTTGCCCTCAAAAAAGGGGTGTACTGGAAGGTGCGCCCCACACCTGAAGAGTTTCCAAGAGCAGTTAACTTTGCACCTTTTGTTAAATTATTCCAAGGAGGTTAAACAAGTGTAACAAGTTATAGCATGTATAACTACAATCAGCTGTTTCAGAGGGGTAGCTATGTTAGTCTGTAACTGAAATTTTTTTAAAAACAACTAATAGTCCTACAGCGCCTTAGAGACTAGCAAAAAATGTAGATGGTATCATGAGCTTTTGTGGGCACAACCCACTTCTCCAGATGAAACTTCATCTGAAGAAGTGGGTTGTGCCCACGAAAATTCATGATATCATCTACATTTTTTGTGAGTCTCTAAGGCGCTGCAGAACTATTTGTTGTTTTTTAAATTTTTACAATCAGCTGTAGGGTTGCCAGATGGTTTCAACAAAAATACCAGACACACGTGACATTACATCACAATCTACATTACATCTTATTTAGAAAATACCGGACATTTATATTTTCTCATTTATATTTTCTCAATTTGTTTCCCGAACAGAAAGCTCATATACTGGACTGTCCGGTTCAAAACCTGACACCTAGCAACACTAATCAGCTGTAATCCTTCATGCTTAGTGTTACTTCACTATTTCCCTTTAGACCAATGGCACTAAACAACCTTTTTATAACATACATGCATGCAACTGTGAACCCATAAGATTCTAGAACTCTGGGAAAATTGACAATCTACCAGAAACACATCAGAGTCTGAGGTACCTTAATGTTTGTAGTGATCCAAAAAGGAAAGCTGGTGGGAAATAAAAGTTAGTTTCAATAGTATGAACAGAAATGGGCCTGGAGCAGAAAGAAGCACAACAATATGGCACCAAACAATAGAAGAAGGCAGCCAAATTAAAAAGTGAGAAAAATAAATGTATAGAAAAGAAAAAGGGATATACAAACATGGAAGAGGAGAAATAGAATGTCAGAAAGAAAAACTGTAAAATTATAGAAGAGATTTTTTCTAAGAGCAGACCTTGCTATTTGCTATAAATCAAAACATGTCCTCAACTGAAACACCACAGTCACAAACCACACTTGCATCTTCAGATTTCTTCTTCTGCACTATTTAATTACAAATGCCCCTCAAAAGTATTTCTGAGTTCAAAGGATATTAGAAAAACCTAAGCCAACCCTGCTAGCTCCCACAGCCCCTTTATTCTCTTTGGGTACGTCTATACTACAGCGTTAATTCGAGTTAACTTAATTCAAAATAATTAATTTGAATTAAGCTAATTCAAATTAACGCATCTACACACAAAACCTATTTTGAAATAGCGTTTCGCTATTTCGAAATAGCGCGTCCACACTGAGTGGACCCTGAACCGAAGTTAAGGCTGGCATCTCCCCCAAACCTGAATAAGATCCATGATCTCCACCCTGGACCAAGAAGGCACCCACCTTCTCCAGCCCTTGTCAGGTTCCTGTGAGCTGGCAGACAGCTCCTGGGGAGCGGTGGAGGGCTGGCTGCCAGTGGCTTGCTGGATCATGTTTTGGGGCCACTGGGTCAGGGGCCCCGGTGGCCACTCCTGGCTCTGGGCTGGCAGGCTTGGAGCTGGCACAGGCCCTGTGGCCAGGGTCTACCTCTTTAATAGCTCTGGGGCTGGGGGAGAGGAGAGTAAGTTTTTCTGGTTGTACCCAGAGTGGCAACCAGGGCTCCCTGGGAAGGGCTGGAGGGCCCCTATTTTGAATTAAGTGTCTACACAGCACTTAATTCAAAATAGCTATTTCGAATTTGGCGTTACTCATAGAATGAGATTTACAAAATTCGAATTAAGTGCTCCACTATTTCTAATTAATTTCGAAATAGCGGTTTGCATGTATAGATGCTATTAAAGTTAATTCGAAATAACGGCTGTTATTTCAAATTAACTTTGCAGTGTAGACATACCCTTTCTTT